CCCCCCGTCCCCCTGGCCCCCCGGGCCGCCGCAGCGCAGAAGAGGAACCAAGGTGGGTGCTGACGGCGGGGGGGGGGCGAGGGGGGCCCAGCACCACCGTGCCGCGGTGCCGAGCCGTGCCCTGAGCACCGCCACTCCCCCCGCAGTGGTCTGCAAGGACGTGCTGGAGGCCGACATCGCCTTCCTGGTGGACGGCTCGTCCAGCATCGGCAGGAACAACTTCCGCGCCGTCCGCGCCTTCATGGACGAGCTGGTGGGGCCCTTCGTGCAGGCGGTGGGCGAGAAGGCGGTGCGCTTCGCTGTGGCACAGTACAGCGACGAGCCACGGTGAGCCCTGGAGTGGGGGCACGCAAGGCGGGGGAGCAGCAGGGCCAGGAGGTGACATGGCGTGGCCCCGTGCCCCCCAGGGTGGAGTTCCCCTTCTCCCAGCACGCTGACGGGATGAGCGTCCGGAGGGCCATCCAGCAGCTGAGCTACAAGGGCGGCAACACACGGACCGGTGCTGGCTTCCGCTACGTCGCTGACAACTTCTTTGGCCCCACGCAGCTCCGACCCGGGGTCCCCCAGGTACCTGCAGGGTGGTGGCCCTGGGGACAGCCGCGAGGCGGATGCGGTGGGTTCATGGGCCCCGGGCTGGTTCTCATGGCTCTCTCATGGCACTGCAGATCTGCATCCTCATCACGGATGGCAAGTCCCAGGATGATGCCGAGGGGCCAGCAGCAAAGCTGAAGAGCCAGGGCATCAAGGTCTTCGCTGTGGGTGAGCAAGGCTTTGGTGCCAGGTGAGGGGGGCTCCCGCCAGGTTGAAGGTCCTTGCCTTCACCCGTCTTCTCCATCCCTGCCAGGGATCAAGAACGCTGACCAAAAGGAGCTGATCCGCGTGGCCTCGATGCCCACCGATGCCTTCTTCTTCTACGTCGGCGACTTCAAGCTGCTGGGGACGCTGGTGCCACTGATGACACGCAGGGTGTGCACAAGCATCGGGGGCACACTGCACCTCCTGGGTATGGGCACCCACCCTCCTCCCTGTGGGGTGCGGGTGCTGGGTGCCAGGCTGCGCTCACCCTGGGTACGCGCTTAGCACCCACCCTCCCCAAAATATCCTCCTGGCCATCCTGTCCCAATGGGCGCGTGGTTATGGCATCCCAGCAAGCTCTCCCCACTGCCCCATGGACCCTGGAGCCGACGGTCCCTGTGCTCCCCCACAGACGGGCCGAGCCACGCCGGCCCCTCCAACCTGGAGATCCTGGAGCGGGGCCTGGACCAGCTGCGGATCCGCTGGACGGC